ACAGAGTGGGCCATTACACGCACCCCCATCCAAAGTCAAATCTAGGAGGCTTTTATTACCTTGGCTGTGGCTGGCCCCTTCCAGTTCAAGTACTGCTCTAGTTCTGTGCCCTTAGCCCGGGCCCTGGAGGAGTCAAACACTTTCCTCTTGGACCCTTGCATTTTGCCACAGACGGCGGAGTGTCTCTGCAGCCTGAGTGAAAGAAACATTCGTCCGCAGTGGCCACACTTGCCCAGCTCTGGCTCCTCCGTTGAGGAGGTGGACCCTGAGGAGCCTGGTGCTGAGGAGCTTGGCGATCCGGATGGGCTTGTCGCCTGTGGTTCAGTGCCCAGCTCCTCTGAAGGTGGAGAGAACTTGTCTGCTGAGTCTTGCTGTGGAATTTTGTTGTTGCTCGCCATCAGCCTTTCCCTTTTGAGCTTCTGGATTTCGTAATCAGAGAACTGGAGTGGACTGGAGTTTTCCTGGGCCTGTTCATAAGTCTGGTCCTCTCTCCCATTTCCTCTGAACAACTCAGACCTTAACTCCGGGGATAAACTGGGGTCGTGTGTGGTGTTCCTGTTACTAGCTCTAACTCTCCCGGCAGGTGGAATCATTCTTTGTAGCTGCCTGTCTTCATTTTCTCTGGCCTCCTTCTTTTCCTTCTGGATCCTTCGAAGACCCTCCTCTGTCTTCTTCAGCTTTTCCCTTAGGAGGAGCTCCTTTCTTCGGATTTCCTTCTGTAAACTCTCCCCGGCAGCTTCCAGTCTTTGGATCTGTGACCATTCGGTCCTATGGAGATCTGCCACAACCTTCTCTGCCTGCACAGACGCAAACACAGACGAATTCACCCAGCTCCTCAAACCAAAGTTGCTGTCTGAAAACTCGCTGGAGTCAGGGAGTCTTGGGTAGCCATCAGTATCTGCCTCACCTGTGCTATGTGACTTCCAGTGGACCATGGGTTTCAGAGGGTATGCCCGATCCACCCCAACTCGTTTCTTCCTGAAGGGAATGAAGTCCTGGTCATTCGCTTTGGGATACCGGGGTTGAGGGCTTGACAAGTAAAATAAACCCTTTCCTTGGCCCTGGGGATTGCTTCCTGTGCCCTGCTGGCTGATTCTCACACTGTGGGGACAGGAGTGCCTGCGGGCTTTTGTGCAGATGTTCCTTTTGGAGTGAGTGGAGGCATCGTCTTCCTGCTCCGGCTCTGTGTTGCTCCAAGGCTTCTGCTGGAAATCGTTCCTCAAATGTCCCATCGAGGACCGCTGGGAAGAGTCACTTTGTTCAAAAGGGTCACGCTTAGCTGAGTGGAGCCCTGGAGCTTCTGTTTTATTATGTGGGAACATAACGCCCACAGGCAGATGTGGAGCCAACTGGAGATCAGCCATTCAGGGCCTGGACCGAAGCCTAAGGGAGATTTAAACCAGATACATGTGAAGAATCTGTCTGAGGTTCATTCCTGGCTGCTAGAGTAAACTGTACGTTTGGCCTACCCACGTTCCCTTTAAACGTTTCTCCGGACTGTGGTGCTGGATGTGCCGGGGCATTCTTTCAATAAGCATTTAAGGAGTGATGATCACATGCCAGACATTGCTAAGCCCCGAGGACCAAAACGTGAACGTGACATAGGTGTTCTGCCACTGGCTTTCCTCCACACCCATATCTGATCTGGAAGAGGTGGAAACAGCCTTGGATGGAAGGTCATCCGTGACAGAGCAGGCAGCCTGCTCTCGCTAGCCCCGGTTCTTGTAAACGGCAGAGGGTGCTCTGCGTCCAGCCCCGCGGTTTTATGGGGTGAGAACAGTGGCCTGGCGACAGGGCCTGGCACAAGGCGTTCCCTGGGCTTTCCCCCAGCCGGAAACTACAAAGAAGCAGGTGCCTCGCCGTCAAACCCCCGTTCAAGGATGTCCTTATGAACCCTCCCTGAGACCCGGCTTCCTGGGATAAACTCTCAGTCTCCAGCCCCTCGGGAGGTCGCGGTGTCTCCCCTCCTTTCCGCGTACCTGAGGCGCTCAGGGGCCGTTCCTGCTCAGGGAAAATCCCCAAGACCTAGTTTTCCACACTTGACTTCACCCAACTGCCGTCCGCGCAGGCGCTCTCCGGTCCACCTCGGTTATCCCGGTTGCCTGGGGACCGGAGCGCGGCCTCAGGTTGCGAACTTTCCGCTCCAGATGTGCGCAGGCGCAGTCCGCCGGCGGCCCGAAGCTGCTGGAGCCGGATTGGGGTGGAGGGAGGTGGGTGCAGTCCGGTCACTTGATGCCGGGTGCCGCCAACTCTGCAGCTCGGATCGGCGGTGCCCTCGGGGAGAGGGGAGGGGTTGGACAGGTTTGCCTGGGGCTACATCAAAGAAGAGCTTGGATTTCTCAGACGATGAGGCTCCCGGACCTTAGGGTGTGCCCTCGTCTGGAGACGGGGGGAGCCCCTGTATGGGCTGCGGAGTTACCCCGCCCCAGGACTCGGGGGTCTGCCCGGCTAGCGGGACTAAGACTGCTGCTCGCCCTTCTGAGCGCGCTCGGCTGCTGCGCCCAGGCCCCAGGTAGGGCTTGCAAGCTCCAGGTTCCGTGCTCCCGGGCTGTCTTCCCTCGAAACGCTTTGGCGCTTGCTATTAGATGTACTTTTATTTCGCTACGTGTTACCGTCCCTAGGTAGTTTCTAAAGCCAATCTAATCAGTTTGCTATTACAATGTTTTACTCTCACGTGACCGTTTCTACTCCGGGCCCAGGAATGACTCAGCCAAATGTAACAAACCATAATAAAGTTAACTACCAGATCAACAATAATGACCATAACTCGATTTCGACATTAAATGATCCTCTGTAACTTTTTGACTTGAGGAGAGAGTTTATTTGTCTTCTTCGTGCTTCGGTTCATTTGGACAAGCTGTTTGGAACAGAGAGCTCAGTGTTTCTTGTAACTACGCGGAAGATCCGTGCACGTGGGAAAAGTGGACCGCGGTCTCGTTAATACTTCAGTATATCAGATGTCAGCTCTTATGTGCTACAAAGAAGTTCCTTGATGGGCTCTCTAGGGCAGAATGTCAGTCGTTTTCATTCCCGGTTGTCTCTTCTGCCTTCTCCACATTGCATGCAGGCATGCCCACTGACTCTGGCTGGTAAAGGTAGAGCTTTCCCCCTGCCTCAGGCAACTTACGCGGCTTTCCCCTATGCATGCTTTTAAACAAGTTTCAGGACTCTCCATCTTAAACTCTGGTTTTAAAATACGCATAATTCTTCATGCAAGACAACTTTCACTTTCCTGGCTCTGTCTCCCCTGCCAGGATCCCCCTGGTTTCTCTTCTGTTCTGTTTTGTTTAGTGTTTGTTTTGAGACAGGTTCCCTCCTTATTTAGTCCATGGGTTAGCACTGGTTAGCCCTCTGGCCTCAGTTGCTCCAGGCTGGGATATGGACCTGCGTGCGCGCGCGCGCGAGCGCGTGTACACACACACACACACACACACACACACACGGTGGGGGTGGTGAAGAAGTGTATGTATGAGATCTGTGAGTGTATGCACTATGTGTGTGTAGTGCCTGGGAAGGCCAGAAGATGACATTAGAACCCCTGGACCTGAAGTTATGGCAACTGTGAGCCAACTAACAGAACACCTCAGTTTCTTTCTTCTTTCTTTAGTTTTGGTTGGCTTGTTTGTTTGTTTGTTTTTGTTTTTGAGACAAATTCTCAAAATACATCCTTGGTTGGCCTGGAACTTGCTATGTGTTCCAGGCTAGCCTTGAACTCATAGAGACCCACTTGCCCCCTGAGAGGTGCGCCCTGGGCAGGACACCTCAATCACTAACACGCCCCCCCACACACACACCCTCTTTCTTATCTCTCCTCCTTGTCCAGGCCCCTGTGGTCTGGCTTTTGCCCTCTCTTGTTAACTGCAGTGTCCTCCCTAACGCACAGGAAGGCAAGCTTCTATCTCTGCAGCCTATTCACATGGCAGTGTTGAGCGTTCTCTCCCTAAAGACTCTCTTCTCACTACTTCCGTGTCCTCTTGGTCTCTTCTTTCTCAGCCTTGTTCCATCTACTTAAGGTCCCTGGCATCTTCACCTTTCCCCTTGCTGGCCTTCTAAGTTTAGCTGTTCTCCCGATCATGTGGATGCTGTCCCAGGCAGTCTCTTCCTTAGGACTTCTGTCGGATCTGAAACATGGGGTTCCACCTATGCCTAAAGTTAGCCCTGCTTAGCCATAGTCTCTTTCCAACTACCTGCCTGGTACCTCCTCATGACAGTTTCTTAGAAGCCCCAAACTCAGTTTGACAGGACACTGGTCATCTCCCCATTCTCTGTCTGCTGTTTCCCATGTTTCATGTCATCTCATCCTCAAAGTATCCATCTCCTCCCACCCCCACTTTTGCTATCTCTTCCAACTGACCTACAAATTCTATTGAGTTTACATCTGCCATTTTTCTCATAATAAGCTGTATCCTCTTGTTCTGCCTGTGTTTCTCGTGCGAACGGCTTCGTCCTCCTCACCATAAACACCTGCTCCCCAAATCCACCCTTCTTGCTAGCGTCCAGACGGTGATTCTAAAACCTTCTTTCCCAGCCTTGTTAAGATATTAGCAGGGCTTGGGCTTATCAATCAGTGGTAGCATGTATACTTAGAATGTGTAAGGACCGAGGTTCCTTCCTAAGCAACACACACACACACACACACACAC